TCAGAGTGGAATGAGTTGCCTCTGCCCATAAAAATGACGTCCTCTCTGGGCAGCTTTAAAAATAAAGTAAAAAACAGTTTGATGTCTTCTGTGACAATTTGAACGTACCCTACGATGTAACTGCAATGATGAGACTTTATTGTGTGTAATCCTCGATGAATTTGGGGGTTTGTTTTGATCTAATTAATAAACTAAACTAAAACAAGGTAGATAAGACAACCATATATCACAGTCATCGCAAGAAAACGTTCCTCAATAAAGCAGCTATCAGTGAAATCAGTTATAGTAAGAAAATACAAATATTTCAGCTTGGTAGTTGAGTAGCCACAGACAGTGTCCATCACTGTCAATGAAGTGCAACAGTCATGTAGAGGGCAACCTCTAGGCGGGGTGTATTTATGCTCTCCCTGCCAGAATAGGAAGAGCGTGTGGTCTGGCCTAAGGAGATGTCTGTCGCAAGCTGCGAGCCAATCCGTTATCCTAGAGAGAATGTCTGACCTTCCACTATTAGTTGTCAGCTATCCCAGTTACATCATTAGCAAACACACTCTCACTGCGACTGTTTACAGCTAAGTATGGGTAATAAGAAAAAAAGGGCAATTTCACTTTGATGCTGTAAAATAAACATTGAAACATCAATGCCAAGAAGACTGTGATTATCATTCTTCAAGGGATTCGGGTGCTGATGTCTTTGTGGAATATAACATTTTGAATCTCACTCCAAGATTTCCTGTAAACCTTGTATGGCTTAGGGACATGAAGGATGAGATAGGTAAAGAAACACAGACTTACTGAAGAGCATCTGCTATGTACCAACTCATTACAAACAGAACATGGATATTGGACATGAAGTGCAACAAATGCTAATATCGGGGATATTGACTGGAATGTGTTTTTGGGCCAAAAAAATAAATAAAAATAGCATTTGGAGACAGTAGCAAGGTAATCAAAACCAAAGCATAGATTGCTGTCATACCTTGTCTATAGACTGCTTACAGGGTAATTTTGTAAATTGGGTGAACTATCCCTTTAACTCGGTCATACTCTGCAACAAAGTAAGGATGCAGTCACAAATATTTGGACATTGCTCTCAACATCCCAGTGACCAGATTGTTTTCAAGGAGATGTTCCACTAAGGGAAAACTTTGGAAAAGTAAAACACATTCTGAAAAATATTCTAAATTCAAGCATTTAGTCCACATGGAATGTGATCCTCTCACAATCCATTGAACCACATTTAACCATAAATGTAAATTGCAATCAATGGATAGTTAAAGCATAGGAGACTCCAAGGTCTTTCTTGAAAAATAAATTGAATCCAGACCAACCTGGATGAATAAAGGTTTCATAAAAGAAATGAAAACATGTCAAATAGTCCCAGTGTTACCTTGCTTGCCCGCCTTCTTGCGTATCCTCATCTTGGGGAAAGAGGGCCAGGAGTAGTTAAAAGGAGAGTCCGAGTCTGAATCCATGACTCTGTGTTTCGTCTATGAGTCTCAGAGCACCCTGCAGCCTGACCAAGGCTTTAACACCAAAACACTTTAGTTTAAACAATATATATATATATTTTACTGAACTTCAATTTTCCTCTAGGTTGTATATTCTCTTGTACATTCAGTTTGTTCTTCAGTTCAGGAGTCTTGGTTGGACTGTGAGGTTACGCCAGTTTACTCCTTCCTTCCATCTGAGTCTCAGCGGAGTGCAGACACTGACACTTCAGCAGTGAGCCAGCATGTTCCCCCATCTCCCCCTCCCCCTTATCCCCCGCCAAACCCCCCCCCCCTCCTACTCTGTGCCCCCTCAAAACTCCAAATCATCTAGCATATCGAGACCGCTTTCTTTGTCTCTTTTTTCTCTTGCTTTCTCACCTTCTCCTCCTCCATTCTCTCTTTTATCCCTTCTGCCCCAACCCTCGCTGTATCCTACCCTCTCCCGTCCAGTCTCTCTTTCTTTCCCACCATGCACAGCCGAGAGGAGGAGAGACCAGAACATGAGGAGGGGAGGAGGAACGAGTGACTGAGGGATAAAGAATGACTAAAGGAGAAGTAGAGAGAGAGAGAAACAGAGTAGAGAGGAGTGCCCGCCTCAGATAATCTTGAAAGACAAACACAGGGCCAGACAGCTGGTCCTGACCTGAGGAATCCACAAGGAGGTCAGTTAGAGTCAGACAAGTCATAGATAAGAATAATTAACCTCAGTCCTAGAGAGTTAACGCTGTGTAAAGAACACAACACACACGGCAGCACTACACCTCCCCCTACTGCACAAGCCCAGGGCACAACACTACTCACTAAACACACGACCACAACACTCATATGCACAGAGAAACGTTCTAAAGGTGTCCTCAGAGAGAGGCTGGATCCCAAATGACACTCTATTCCCGAAATAGTGCAGTATTTTTGACCAGGGCACATATGGTCAAAGTAGACATAACCAGAGTCTTCAGCAGTCTTCAGAAAGGAAGAAAGCTCTTGGAGAGGATAGTGACTGAGAAACAGAGGGGTTTCAAGGCAGATTGCCATGTCAGTAGAGTGGAAACAGGCAGCAGCAGCACAAAGAAACCCAGAGACTCACAGAGAGTTCACAAACACACACACACACACACACACACACACACACACACATTGTTCTATATCCAAACACAGTTTGTACGCCCCCTGGAGGGCTGAGAGAGAAAAATAAAGAGAAAAACAGAGACACTGTGTGTCCTCTTTATTCCACTACAGTTGGCTGCAACAACTCTTCAGACAAAAGCCTTAAGAGGAGACGAGGAGAGGAAAGAGGGAGCGTCAAAGTCTGGCACTTTAACAACTCTCTCTCTCTTTCCCTGACGCTGGAGTACAGTAGCTTCTACTTCTACAGGGAACACAACAAGAATCAGCAAGCGTTTTTTTAACGACAGATCCTCCATTCATACTCTTTTCTCCCAAAACTGAAAATGTGCATTCAGCAAAGCCTTGGCAACCCCCATTCACCCCCCTTCCTCCTCCTCCTCTCTCCCTCCCACCCTCCTTTCCTCCCTCTCTTTCCCCCTGACTTACACAGAACCCCTTTCTTTAGTTCATCCATGCATTGGCCTGCTGGCAGTAGAAGGGAGGCCCTCAGGATGAAGTGGCCTTTGCGGTTTGTTCACTAAACTCGGATTAAAACGATGACTAGAGGGAGAAGAGGAGTGGTGGCAGGGAGAGGGCATAAGGGGGGAGAGGGTGAGGTGAACTAAAGGGTGGAGAAGGGAGAGTAGGATTTCGGTGGAGGATGGTGTGGGAAGATCAAGGTGTAGAGGAGGATGAGCGTAAACAAAAGGAGGGAGAGTGGTAGCAAGATGGGGCAAGGGGATAGGGACAGAGGGTTAGAGAGCGGTACAGGTTAAGTGGAGAGAAAGAGCAATAAAGAGCCAGTTTATCAAGAGAGGAACAGAAGGAACATGAAAACTACACTCCAGATTCCTCATCCCCTGACTGAAACTTCATTTACTGGAGTTGTGTTTGTCTATTAGTTACCAAATTGACTGCAGTCAGAGCACCATATTTCAGGGGATACAAATTGCTTTGTGGATATTTGTCATACTCCACAAACGTGTTAACAAAAACACTTGAGGTCATTTGTAATGCTTGAGAGCCTGACAAATATTTTTCACATGTCATGTTTGGTATTTGTGATGAGGATTTAAAATTGATTGTATGTGTGTGTCCACTTTACTCCACTACCATTGTGTGTGTGATAGTGTGTGTGGCAACCAATACAAAGAACAGAGAGACTAGTAAATCTGTTGACACACATACACAAAACGTACACAGACCCACACTCACGCACACATGCATGCACACACACACAGACCCACCCACACACAAAAATGCACACACATTTTAGTCACTAAAATGGCTGAACCATACAGGGTGAAAACAACAGAGACCGCAACATATTACAATTACAGCTGTCCAGTGCCAAGTGTTAAACCTCGAGCCCTGAGCATACAGCCACAACATTCTTACCCAGAGACATGTGTCTGATTATTCCTAAATGGCACCCTTTTCCCTGCATAGTGTACTACTTTTGTCCAGGGCTGGTCAAAAGTAGTGCACTATGTAGGAAATAGGGGGCCATTTGGGATGCAGTCATGTGTCTGCTTCAGGCTCACACCAGCCAATCATTAACCCGCAGGATGTTCCCACCGTCTCAAACTTTTCTCCAACCAGAGGTCAGCCAAACCCAGTACCACTAGACCCTGATCTAAGGTCTAGTGGTTTTGTGTTTTCTCCGCAAATGGTTAAGGTAAGAATCTCGGGAAGGGTAAGCTGATCCCATATCTGTGCATATGGCCAACGTTTACCCAGAGCAATAATCACAGCTAATGCAGAGCGAAAGGACACCAGGAAATGTGTGCAAGGGCCCAGTGGAGGCCAGCATGCAGAAACATGATCCTACATTCTGTGGAGAGATTATGGCTAGGGGAGACAAGGAAAGGAACGAGGGAGAGAGACTGGAAGAGAGAGAGAGAAGTGGTGAGAGAGTATGCGAAAGAGAGGGAGAGAGAGGTGTGTGGTTCTCTGAGGTACAGTACAGTAATGGTGTCCTTGTGTAGTCTGCTAGCCAAAATCTTCCTTTTCCGTTCACTAATTAGATCCTTCAGATGAGGTCTCCTCACTTGAGCAGCGTCAAAGTCTTGCACTTTAACAACTCTCTCTCTCTCGCGCTTTCCCTTTAGCTGTGAGACAGTCACGTTCTAAAATGAGACTGATGTTCTAGATTCAGTTACAAACATAACAATCTATGGTAGGAAGGAAGCTATAGCCCACATTCACAGTGAAAATAATTTTGTGTGAATTATTTAATGATACACCTGCCCTGTATTCATAAAGCCTTTTAGATTATAATGAATACGGTTACATGGACAGAGAGGACCTGATCCTAGATCAGCACTCCTAGTCTGAGAGGCTTTATGAACAAGGGCCCTGAAATACTGTGATCTGATGAGTCATAAAAAGCCTTACCAGAGTATGTCAGGGATTCTTCTTCTTCTTCTTCTTCTTCTTCTTCTTCTTCTTCTTCTTCTTCTTCTTCTTCTTCTTCTTCTTCTTCTTCTTCTTCTTTTAGACAAAACATGAGGGGCTCCTCCAAGTCCTGAATGGAGACATCGACACAGAGTCTTTTCACAATGCTACACAGGCTGAGAAAAATGGGAGTGAGAAGAAGGTTTGTGCATGGTACCTGGACTCTCTGTGTGTGTTGTACACACGCCCATGTCTGTGCGTGCGTGTGTGTATGCGCACGTGTGTTTGTGTGTGTATGAGTGTGTGTACGTGTAGTCAATTTCCTTCCACCTGCATCACATAAACCTATCCTGAAGGATGTAGCACACTATGACCATGAACATGAACACAAACACCTCACACACACGAGCACGCACACACACCTCTCATAAAAGTTACTTTTCACCAATTTGATACCAACTCGAACACCCTAACAATACATTTACATTTAGTCATTTAGCAGACGCTCTTATCCAGAGCGACTTACAGTTAGTGAATACATATATTTTTTTTATACTGGCCCCCCGTGGGAATCAAACCCACAACCCTGGCGTTACAAACGCCATGTTCTATCAACTGAGCTACATCCCTGCCGGCCATTCCCTCCCCTACCCTGGACGACGCTGGGCCAATTGTGCGCCGCCCATGAGTCTCCCGGTCGCGGCCGGCTGCGACAGAGCCTGGATTCGAACCAGGATCTCTAGTGGCACAGTTAGCAATGCGATGCAGTGCCTTAGACCACTGCGCCACTCAGAATGGAACAATGTAGAGTATTGAATCAGAACACAAATCCCCGATGTTCTGTTTTAGCGAACATTCTACCATTCAGCAGTGAATTTAGCCGGTTGAATGAACTTTCATATACAGTATGTGGAGTAAAATAAAGAGTTTGGGGTCATATAGGTAATACTCAAAGTGTAAAAGGTATTTCTTAGTCACTACTCACATTGTCTACTGTAGCTGTACTGCCTGCAGTGATGACAGGATACAAACCTTGACAAAGAAAAGGTAACATAAGCATGATGATGATGATAAGGTCAGACAGAAATGATAACATTTGAAACAGCCATTCAAAACAAGTCCAGTAGTTGTTCAAAGACTGCTCTATATGACATACAGGTAACTGCCAAAATAAAGGAAACACCAACATAAAGTGTCTTAATAAGGTGTTGGGCCACCACGAGCCACCAGAACAGATTCAATGCACCTTGGCATAGATTCTACAAGTGTCTGTAACTCTATTGGAGGGATCTCTTTCACGAGAAATTCCATAATTTGGTGTTTTCCCACTAAGCACAGACATCAATTCAACGTCTAGATTTGATTTACATTTGGTTGAGTTGTCAACTAAAATAAATTCAAAGTGAAATCAACAAAACATTTCACCATGTCATTGGATTTAGGTTAAAATTTGGGTGAAAAAAAAGACAAAATTAGTTTTCCACATTCATTCAACATCATCACATAGATTTATTTGGGTTGAAATGAAGTGGCAACAACGTTGGGTTGTTGATGGTGGTGGAAAATGCTGTCTCAGGCGCCACTCCAGAATCTCCTATAAGTGTTCATTTGGGTTGAGATCTGGTGACTGAGACACACACACACACACACACACACACACACACACACACACACACACACACACACACACACACACACACACACACACACACACACACACACACACACACACACACACACACACACACACACACACACACACACACACACACACACACACACACAGTCTTGCGCAGCTAACCTTGTGGGGACATACAATTCAGTCCCATTCAATTCCCATTCCTATTTTCCCTAACACCCTAACCCTAAACCTAACCCGTACCCTTACCCTAACCCTAACCTTAACCCTAACCCAAAAATCTAACCCTATCTCCTAACCCAAACCCTAAACCAAATTCTAACCCTAACACTAATTCTAACCTTAACCCCCTAGAAATAGCATTTGACCTTGTGGGGACCAACAAAATGCACACACACACACACCCTTTAAACCCACTATTCTCCTTTGAGATCCTTCTTTCAAAGTCACTGAGATCTCTTCTTCTAGCCATGGTATTTGTATTTATTATGGATCCCCATTAGCTGCTGCCAAGGCAGCAGCTACTCTTCCTGGGGTCCAACTAAATTAAGGCCGTTATACAATTTTTTAAACATTACAATACATTCACAACAGATTTCACAACACAGTAAGTGTCTGCCCTCAGGTCCCTACTCTACTACCACATATCTATAACACAAAATCCATGTGTGTGTATAGTGCGTATGTTATCTTGTGTGCGTATGCATGTGTCTGTGTCTTTGATTGTGTCTCTTCACAGTCCCCGCTGTTCCATAAGGTGTATTTTTTTGTATGTATTTTAAATCTAATTTTACTGCTTGCCTGAGTTACTTGATGTGGAAGAGAGTTCCATGTAGTCATGGCTCTATGTAGTACTGTGCGCCTCCCATAGTCTGTTCTGGACTTGGGAACTGTAAAGAGACATCTGGTGGCATGTCTTGTGGGGTATGCATGGGTGTCCGAGCTGTGTGCCAGTAGTTCAAACAGACAGCTCGGTGCATTCAACATGTCAATACCTCTCACAAATACAAGTAGTGATGAAGTCAATCTCTCCCCCACTTTGAGCCAGGAGAGATTGACATGCATATTAATTTTTGCTCTCTGTACATCCAAGGGCCAGCCGTGCTGCCCTGTACTGAGCCAATTGCAATTTTCCTAAGTCCCTCTTTGTGGCACCTGACCACACGACTGAACAGTAGTCCAGGTGCGACAAAACTAGGGCCTGTAGGACCTGCCTTGTTGATAGTGCTGTTAAGAAGGCAGAGCAGCGCTTTATTATGGAGAGACTTCTCCCCATCTTAGCTACTGTTGTATCAATATGTTTTGACCATGACAGTTTACAATCCAGGGTTACTCCAAGCAGTTTTGTCACTTCAACTTTCTCAATTTCCACATTATTCATTACAAGATTTGGGTGAGGTTCAGAGTTTAGTGAATGATTTGTCCCAAATACAATGATTTTAGGTTTTGAAATATTTAGGACTAACTTATTCCTTGCCACCCATTCTGAAACTAACTGCAGCTCTTTGTTAAGTGTTGCAGTCATTTCAGTCGCTGTAGTAGCTGACTTGTATAGTGTTGAGTCATCCGCATACATAGACACACTGGCTTTACTCAAAGCCAGTGCCATGTCGTTAGTAAAGATGGAAAAAAGTAAGGGGCCTAGACAGCTGCCCTGGGGAATTCCTGATTCTACCTGGATTATGTTGGAGAGGCTTCCATTAAAGAACACCCTCTGTGTTTTGTTAGAGAGGTAACTCTTTATCCACAATATAGCAGGGGGTGTAAAGCCATGACACGTAAGTTATGGTATACAAAATAATGGCCAACTGGGCATTTTTAATAATGGGCAACTGGGCATGTCCCTACACATAATCAGATGTTTTATTTGCTTAATTAACTGAGGAACCACACCTGTGTGGAAGCACCTGCTTTCAATATACTTCGTAGTGTTTCCTTAATTTTTGCAATTTTGTATTTGAGCTCCATATGCAAGTCTATAGAATGCTACCAACTCCATACCAGGGTTGGGATTAATTCCATTTCAATGTTTTTTAATTAGGAGCATTTGGTTTACTTTCTGAATTGACTAGAAGTTAAATGTAATTGACCCCAACCCTGGACCATTCATAAATGAGATCGATTCTTTGCTATCCAAGGCCATGGTGCATAATCAGTCACCAGTCAGACAACATGAAGGGTAATTCTGCATTAGTCTTTCAGCCTAATTCATACCTTACCTATGTACACAACGCAAGAACGCATTAGCTACACAAAATGCCGATCTTGTGTAGAGTTACAAATTGCGGGTCTGCGCACGTCTGCGTATTTTGGCTACACAACTACACAGGATCGCCATTTTGTAGTTTCGCCAAGGCAGCAGCTAATGGGGATCCATAATAAATACAAATACAAATAGAAGAAATGGCTAGAAGAAGAGATCTCAGTGACTTTGAAAGAGGGATCTCAAAGGAGAATAGTGGGTTTAAAGGGTGTGTGTGTGTGTGCATTTTGTTGGTCCCCACAAGGTCAAATGCTATTTCTAGGGGGTTAAGGTTAGAATTAGTGTTAGGGTTAGAATTTCGCCATTAATTGCGTCCGTACGTAGGGGAGTTCTTTAGTCCTTTAAGTGGCAGTGTACACATTAATGAATACATTTTAGGACACTGGAAGAGGGAGAGAGAGAGAGGTTTGGAGAACGTTTAGAGACCCTATGGGCCCTTGCCATTTGGAACTCACACTGGGCCTGCCCTGTCAGCCTGCAAGGCCTGTGCCAGTTATATTTTCGAGTATTCGACATCCAACTTTGAGAGGAATAGTCACTCATTCACTCTGGTTTAATGCATACTATTTACAAGCTGGAATGATGAGTCCAGAATGGGTTCAAACTAACACACCCAATTGTCCACTTTAGAATGAATCCCATCTTGAGCACTTAACTCAAGCTATTGTGCAATGCATAATTTACATAAAGGTCATGGGCATAAAGTTAAAGTTGCCTCACCGTGCGCTAGTCAGTTTCAGACTATATAAAACAGATAGGTCAGCTTGGGCTTGGTTTACTTAGACTGGTAGTACTCCTATATCCCAGTGGAGGGCAATACAGTTCAGTGATTCAAACAATCTGAGCCAACGAGAGCTTGGGCTAATCCCGTCAACTAGTTCTTCTTTCTCCAGTATGGGCTCTGACTGCTCTCTTCTCAGGGCATTGATCTAGCTTCCACAAAATCAAATCAAATTGGTGAGACTTCCACCTAGTCTATCAGAGGGCAAGATGGAGCTATTGCCATATTGCTTACACCTGTCAAATCCAGTCAGATCTCCACAAATGCATAGGTTGTAGGGTTTAGGGGTCGATTTGCGATTGGGCCCTCCTGTCCTCGCAAAGTCGGAGTAGGATGAGGTTGCCCCCTGGTTACGGTTAGGATTTGGGGAGTGTAAGCTGATCCTGGATCACTGCCTATGAGCATATCTACCCAGAGTGGAACAGGCTGTGTTAGCTAGAACAAGCGCTTTGGACTACATGGATTGATGAAATTACACAGACAAAGACAAATTATGCATCCTTTGGGCACTTACTGCACTATTAGGGAATAGGGTGCCGTTTGGGACACACACAACAAACTAAAGTACCATTCTCTCCTGGTTCATCCACTAGTTCTTCTTTCTCCAGTATGGTCTCTGACTGCCCTCTTCTCAGGGCCTTGATCTAACAGCAAATAAACGAGAACAGTAAAATTATGTTATTATCAGATTGGCATCAATTCCATCTCAATTCCGTCAGTCAATTATTAGGGGTTCACAGTGTCAAATAACTCATGCATAGATTGGTAACTTTTTTCTAATTTGGCAGACACAAGAGGCCAAGATTGGCCTATAGGCGGCACTGTTATTAGCAGTCTCACTTAAACCCTATCTGCCAATCCTATCTGCCACATATCTGCCACCCCGGTTGACCTTGAGACTTAAGACTTTGTATGTTGGTGCCTTTCCTCATGCTGAACAAATTTGCCTCAAGGACCCATAAGGTCTGTCAGGATAAAGTTTCCTCCATCTTGGACATTTTGGAAAACTTCTCTTAACTTGGTTTAAGAAAAGCTAAGGGATTGAATAAAGAGATTCTCCGTTACTTTTGTATACTTTTTAGACAGTAGTTCTGAAAGTAGCACTCACAAGCCAAAAGTGGTCCCTGAAAATTGCATACTACATCACATATGTGCAGATATGTGCACCACCTCATTGCTCACTCTCTCTCTGTCTGTCTGCTGTGTCCACTGATCCGTTGGACCCGCCATAAAACCTCATTGGATACCGCTGGACAAGCCTCTTGCTAGCTGTCAATCAAATGCGAGGGGCTGAAGCTCATTGGCTAGAACTCAAATTGCTAGGGGGCTAGTCCACGTGGGGGGAAATTTAGGACAAATGCTGCAGCACAGCTTCAAGAAAACTAGGGATTTCATGTCTAATTGAGGTAAGACAGTAATTCTGCTCATAGATTATGCATGTTTGAGCTACACATTGACACATCCAGCCCAAAGAAAGAGGTTTGTACCGGAGCATGTCTTTAAGAGATGGCTGAGTTATTGATAAATCACGAAATCTGATTTTACGTGTCCATTTAAATCATTTGTAAATCCACTTCACAATGGCCTACCAACTTTTTAGGGTCATCAAATACATTGCCACTATGAATCATGTTAGGTTTGGCATTGATATCTTAAAAAATAAAAAAACTATTAACAATTCACTTTTTGACTATGTAATGGTAATGCTTAAAATTATCATACAAAATCTTATTTCATGGACTTAAAGTCAGATTCACTCCAAATATGGTCTTTGGACTCATAACAATGGGCCCTAAAGACTTTGAGAAAAGAACGTTAATGCATTCAAAGATGGCCACACTATACCAGTAGACGCATATTAGCACATACGCTAATATGCTAAAATATGCTAAAAATTCTTCAAAAATCTTCTTCTCATGAACCATAGGACCAAATGACACTACATTTGGAATGTATGCCCATGGTACATGTCTTAACTTGGCTAAGTTATTGACAAATCAAAAATCTGATTTTACATGTCCATTTAAACCACTCCACAGTGGCCTATCAACTTAAAATCTATCATCGCTATCATGGATATCCCTAAGATGAACCACACTGAATTTGGTTTTGATTGTATGATTGCCTCAAAAAACAAGGAAACGATTAACAACTCATTATTTGCATATATGACACTAAAGCAAAAAAGTATCTTCTCCTCATCAACCATACGTCAGATTCACTCCAGATTTTGTATTTAGACTCATGATTGCACATAAATTAAGATAGTTCCAACATGATAGAGTGCTTGCTTTGTTATCCAACTGATCTTGTGTCCTTTTTGTCATCCTGTGAACCCCGTTCATTGCTGCTCGCAGCTACACTACTGGTCAAAGTTTTAGAACACCTACTCATTCAAAGGTTTTTCTTTATTTTTTACTATGTTCTACATTGTAGAAAAATAGTGAAGACATCAAAACAATGAAATAACACAAATGGAATCATGTAGTAACCAAAAAAGTGTTAAACAAATCAAAATATATTTTATATTTGAGATTCTTCAAATAGCCACCCTTTGCCTTGATGACAGTGTTGCACACACTTGGCATTCTCTCAACCAGCTTCACCTGGAATGCTTTTACAACACTCTTGAAGGAATTCCCACATATTCTGAGCACTTGTTGGATGCTTTTCCTTCACTCTGCGGTCCGACTCATCCCAAACCATCTCAGTTTGGCTGAGGTCGGCGGATTGTGGAGGCCAGGTCATCTGATGCAGCACTCCATCACTCCTTCTTGATAAAATAGCCATTACACAGCCTGGAGGTGTGTTGGGTCATTGTCCTGTTGAAAAACAAATGATAGTCCCACTAAGCCCAAACCAGGTGGGATGGCGTATCGCTGCAGAATGCTGTGGTAGCCATGCTGGTTAAGTGTGCCTTGAATTCTAAATAAATCACAGACAGTGTCACCAGCAAAGCTCCCCCACACCATAACACCTCCTCCTCCATGCTTTACGGTGGTAAATACACATGCGGAGATCATCCGTTCCCCCACACCGCGTCTCACAAAGACACAGCGGTTGGAACCAAAAATCTCAAATTTGGACTCCAGACCAAAGGACACATTTCCACCGGTCTAATGTCCATTGCTCGTGTTTCTTGGCCCAAGCAAGTCTCTTCTTCTTATCTGTGTCCTTTAGTATTTGTTTATTTGCAGCAATTCAACCATGAAGGCCTGATTCACACAGTCTCCTCTGAACAGTTGATGTTGAGATGTGTCTGCTACTTGAACTCTGTGAAGCATTTATTTGGGCTGCAATTTCTGAGGCTGGTAACTAATGAACTTATCCTCTGCAGCAGAGGTAACTCTGGGTCTTCCATTCCTGTGGCGGTCCTCATGAGAGCCAGTTTCATCATAGTGCTTCATGGTTTTTGCGACTGCACTTGAATAAACTTTTTCCGTCTTAAAGTAATGATGGACTGTCATTTCTCTTTGCTTATTTGAGCTGTTCTTGCCATAATATGGACTTGGTATTTTACCAAATAGGGCTATCTTCTGTATACCACCCCTATCTTGTCACAACACAACTGATTGGCTCAAACGCATTTAGAAGGAAAGAAATTCCACAAATTAACTTTTAAGAAGGCACACCTGTTAATTGAAATGCATTCTAGGTGATTACTTCATGAAGCTGGTTGAGAGAATGTGCAACACTGTCATCAAGGCAAAGTGTGGCTACTTTGAAGAATCTCAAATCTCAAATATATTTTCATTTGTTTAACACAAGTGAGAGAAACAGTGGGAAGGGTGGACGCAGGGATTGAACCCTGATCTCCTGTTGGGAGATGTACAGTATACACTGAGGAAAAAAAGTATTTGATCCCCTGCTGATTTTGTATGTTTGCCCACTGACAAAGAAATGATCTGTCTATAATTTTAATGGTAGGTTTATTTGAACAGTGAGAGACAGAATAACAACAAAAAAATTCCAAACAATCCAAATCAAAAACAATTAAATTTATTTGCATTTTAATGAGGGAAATAAGTATTTGACCCCCTCTCAATCAGAAAGATTTCTGGCTCCCAGGTGTCTTTTATACAGGTAACGAGCTGAGATTAGGAGCACACTCTTAAAGGGAGTGCTCCTAATCTCAGTTTGTTACCTGTATAAAATATACCTGTCCACAGAAGCAATCAATCAATCAGATTCCAAACTCTCCACCATGGCCAAGACCAAAGAGCTCTCCAAGGATGTCAGGGACAAGATTGTAGACCTACACAAGGTTGGAATGGGCTACAAGACCATCGCCAAGCAGCTTGGTGAGAAGGTGACAACAGTTGGTGGAATTATTCGCCAATGGAAGAAACACAAAAGAACTGTCAATCTCCCTCGGCCTGGGGCTCCATGCAAGATCTCACCTTGTGGAGTTGCAATGATCATGAGAACGGTGAGGAATCAGCCCAGAACTACATGGGAGGATGTTGTCAATGATCTCAAAGCAGCTGGGACCATAGTCAACAAGAAAACAATTGGTAACACACTACGCCGTGAAGGACTGAAATCCTGCAGCGCCCGCAAGGTCCCCCTGCTCAAGAAAGCACATATACAGGCCCGTCTGAAGTTTGCCAATGAAGATCTGAATGGTTCAGAGGAGAACTGGGTGAAAGTGTTGTGGTCAGAAGAGACCAAAATCGAGGTCTTTGGCATCAACTCAACTCGCCGTGTTTGGAGGAGGAGGAATGCTGCCTATGACCCCAAGAACACCATCACCCGGTCAAACATGGAGGTGGAAACATTATGCTTTGGAGGTGTTTTTCTGCTAAGGGGACAGGACAACTTCACCCCATCAAAGGTACAATGGATGGGGCCATGTACCGTCAAATCTTGGGTGAGAACCACCTTCCCTCAGCCAGGGCATTGAAAATGGGTCGTGGATGGGTATTCCAGCATGACAATGACCCAAAACACACGGCCAAGGCAACAAAGGAGTGGCTCAAGAAGAAGCACATTAAGGTCCTGGAGTGGCCTAGCCAGTCTCCAGACCTTAATCCCATAGAAAATCTGTGGAGGGAGCTGAAGGTTTGAGTTGCCAAACGTCAGGCTCGAAATCTTAATGACTTGGAGAGGATCTGCAAAGAGGAGTGGGACAAAATCCCTGCTGAGATGTGTGCAAACCTGGTGGACAACTACAAGAAACGTCTGACCTCTGTGATTGCCAACATGGGTTTTGCCACCAAATACTAAGTCATGTTTTGCAGAGGGGTCAAATACTAATTTCCCTCATTAAAATGCAAATCAATTTATAACATTTTTGATATGCGTTTTTCTGGATTTTTTATTGTTATTCTGTCTCTCACTGTTCAAATAAACCTACCATTAAAATTATAGACTGATCATGTCTTTGTCAGTGGGCAAACGTACAAAATCAGCAGGGGATCAAATATTTTTTTCCCCTCACTGTATGTGACATTTCAAGTCTTGAATTTGAATTTTACTGACCTGTCGGAGGAAGTTGTCATCTCTCAGTCTGTCTCTCAGGAGGAGAATATCGGGCTGTCGGTTCTGCTGGTGGTTCCACTGTGGGTTCTGTCGGACTGTCAGCGTCAGGTTCTCTGAGTCGTGACAGAACCTCAGCAGATGAGAGTGGACCACCCACACCTGGGACAGACCCGCCGGGGGTGTGGCCAGGGGGTTGGGGGGGCTAACGAAAGACAGGCAATGAATCATTCAATCAATCAACCGATCAATCACTTATCCCAAAGGGAAATTTGGTCGGCAAGCAGGAATCACACAAAAGCAATAAAATACACACAATTTACACTCAATTAATTAAAAGGATGGCAAACATGTTGTGATGTACACTACATTGTCTCCGTTGAATACATGTGGTTGACGTTAACAAACCTCATTGAATATTCATAAATGTATTCAAATAATGAGATGTATCCACCAATCCAAAAAGAGGAATAGACAGGAGCTTGACAGCCCGCCGTAATGCTTTGTGGACAACGACTCTCATTGTTAGGGCAGAGAGACACTACATGACCAAAAGTATGTGGACACCTGCTCATTGATCATCTCATTCCAAAATCAGGTTGGTCCCCCCTTTGCTGCTCTAACAGCCTCCACTCTTCTGGGAAGGCTTTCCACTAGATGTTGGAACATTGCTGCGGGGACTAGCTCCATTCAGCCACAAGAGCATTAGTGAGGTTGGCCACTGATGTTGGGCGATTAGGCCTGGCTCGCAGTCGGCGTTCCAATTCATCCCAAAGGTGTTTGATGGGGTTGAGGTCAGGGTTCTGTGCAGGCCAGTCAAGTGCTTCCACACCGATCTCGACAAACCATTTCTGTATGGACCTCGCTTTGTGCACGGGGGCATTGTCATGCTGAAACAGGAAAGGGCCTTCCCCAAACTGTTGCCACAAAGTTGGATGCACAGAATCGTCTAGAATGTCATTTTATGCAGTAGCATTAAGTTTTCCCTTCACTGGAACTAAGGCGCCTAGCCCAAACCATGAAAAAAAGCCCCAGACCATTATTCCTCCTCTACCAAACTTTACAGTTGGCACTATGCATTGGGGCAGGTAGCATTCTCATTTATACCACTCCAGCCTACGCTTGGTATTGTGCATGGTGATCTTAGGCTTGTGCGTGGCTGCTCGGCCATGGAAGCCCATTTCATGAAGCTCCAGACGAACAGTTATTGTGCTGAAGTTGCTTCCAGAGGCAGTTTGGCACTCGATAGTGAGTGTTGTAACCGAGGACAGACGATTTGTACGCTCTACATGCTTCAGAACTCTGTGAGCTTGTGTGGGGGGCCACGGGGGCCCTCACTAATTGTAAGTCGCTCTGGATAAGAGCGTCTGCTAAATGACTAAAATGTAAATGTAAAATGTGTGGCCTACCACTTCGGGGCTGAGCCGTTGTTGCTCCTAGACGTTTCCAATTCACAATAACGGCACTTACAGTTGACCGGGGCAGCTCTTTGACAAACGGACTTGTTGGAAAGGTGGCATCCTATGATGGTGCCAAGTTGAAAGTCGCTGAGCTCTTCAGTACGGGCCATTCTATTGCCAATGTTTTGTTTATGGGGATTGCATGGCTGTGTGCTTGATTTTATGCACCTGTCAGCAACGGGTGTGGCTGAAATAGCCAAATCACATACTTTTGGCCATGTAGTGTGTACACTAGAGCAGTAGCTGAAAGAGTGACCACATGGCATCTCCTCAGTTTAGCATGTGACTTAAGAGACCAACTCAAGGGCATAAAATGCCAAGTGACAGTCAACTATACAGTGCCAAATGTGTGTGACTGAATGTGACAGTGTTCAGTGTGGGAGTGTGCCATCAATGATCCTGTCACATCTTGGGAATAGAGACATGAGGGTTATAATTAACCCTTAAATAGATCCCTATCATTCTATATTTTAATAATATTCTGACATGGGTTGGAAAGATTAGCTTAATCATTATTTATTTTCATGAGTAGGCCACATTGGTAGGACATACCACATCAGAAATTCCCATTTTCACCTTTCACATATTTTTTGCATGCTTATCTGATTTGGATGAGGTTTCAAGGAGTTTCTATCTAACAGCTACACCTTTTTGCCATGTTGCTTCCACCTATCCAATCCTCTCATTTCTCCACAAGGGTATAGAGCTAGAGGTCGAATTGGAATTGGGCATGACTGTGTGAGCAGCCCCAGAGGCTCTGTGTGCCTGCTTACCCCTTTTTCATAGTATACAGATGTATATACGAGTAATAGTCTGATGTAATATAATGTAATGGTATATATTTTACTGTGTGAGCAGCTCCAGTAGCTGTGTGTGCCCGCTGTTGTGTGCTAGCTGCAGGGGGGTGACCCCCTCCTCGTTGGGCAGAGTCACTGCCATCAGTCCTCCAGGCTGGCACAGCAGCAGCTCAGCCAGACAACACAGACCCCAGCGCACAGCCAAGTGAAGAGGGGATTCTCTGGGACACAATTCTGATGGGGGAAAGGGGGAGAGGAGAGAGAGAGGATGATGGAAGACGACATGTGATGAGAGAAGAGAGGGAGTAGAGAGAAGAGAGAGGGGATAAAGGGAGATGGGAGTCGAGATGAGTGACATCGAGAGAGCGAGTAAAGAAGGGATTGTGTTGGAGAGAGAGAGCTGTATAGGGTGCGAGGTGTGAAACTGGGCGTAGACGGGGCTGCGCTGTGTTGGGCAGAAGAGGGCGGGGTGATGGTTGTAGAGATCTGATGGTTCGAGAGACCGCGAGGCGAGCGTGAGAGGAGCGAGGGAGAGATCGAGGAGGGATGCGTAAGCGGGCGACGAGCGGTGTGGCCCGCGAGCGCCGAAGCGCTCGCGCGCGCCCTCGCCGTCTCAGCTCGCGATCGCGCAGCAGCAGACGCGGCGCCTCGCTTCCCTCAGCTCGCGAGGGGTGTCAAGCGGAGGAGAGCGAGCGTCTAGTACCCTTCCCAATTAGGACCTCCTAACCCCCAACATCCCCAGTTGACCCCACTTCCAACACTGCTGTCTGTCCCAATTATCTCCTCTGCTAAACTGTACACCTCTGCTCTACTAACCTAGTTAACACAGTTTACAGTTTACCCTAATAAAGGCCCACTAACCACCTCCATACTGCCTGGCTGGTCCCATAACCCTACAACTGGGTTGTATGCATGAAGCTGGTACCTCAAAGGTGGTCTCAAGTCGAGCGGATAACTTTACTCTATCCACTTTTTAGGTATGAAAACATCGTACAAACTTGGATTTAGCGGTGAACTCTCCATCTACCACTTATTCTATATTCACTTATGCCTAATATACCCTAAATATTAAAACAGAGGGTAAGTGGGGTTTTCATACAGTGGGGAAAAAAAGTATTTAGTCAGCCACCAATTGTGCAAGTTCTCCCACTTAAAAAGATGAGAGAGGCCTGTAATTTTCATCATAGGTACACGTCAACTATGACCAGACAAAATGAGAAAAGAAATTCCAGAAAATCACATTGTAAGATTTTTTATGAATTTATTTGCAAATTATGGTGGAAAATAAGTATTTGGTCACCTACAAACAAGCAAGATTTCTGGCTCTCACAGACCTGTAACTTCTTCGTTAAGAGGCTCCTCTGTCCTCCACTCGTTACCTGTATTAATGGCACCTGTTTGAATTTGTTATCAGTATAAAAGACACCTGTCCACAACTTCAAACAGTCACACTCCAAACTCCACTATGGCCAAGACCAAAGAGCTGTCAAAGGACACCAGAAACAAAATTGTAGACCTGCACCAGGCTGGGAAGACTGAATCTGCAATAGGTAAGCAGCTTGGTTTGAAGAAATCAACTGTGGGAGCAATTATTAGGAAATGGAAGACATACAAGACCACTGATAATCTCCCTCAATCTGGGGCTCCACGCAAGATCTCACCCCGTGGGGTCAAAATGATCACAAGAACGGTGAGCAAAAATCCCAGAACCAAACGGGGGGACCTAGTGAATGACCTGCAGAGAGCTGGGACCAAAGTAACAAAGCCTTCCATCAGTAACACACTACGCCGCCAGGGACTCAAATCCTGCAGTGCCAGACGTGTCCCCCTGCTTAAGCCAGTACATGTCCAGGCCCATCTGAACTTTGCTAGAGTGCATTTGGATGATCCAGAAGAGGATTGGGAGAATGTCATATGGTCAGATGAAACCAAAATAGAACTTTTTTGGTAAAAACTCAACTCGTCGTGTTTGGAGGACAAAGAATGCGGAGTTGCATCCAAAGAACACCATACCTACTGTGAAGCATGGGGGTGGAAACATCATGCTTTGGGGATGTTTTTCTGCAAAGGGACCAAGACGACTAATCCGTGTAAAGGAAAGAATGAATGGGGCCATATATCGTGAGATTTTGAGTGAAAACCTCCTTCCATCAGCAAGGGCATTGAAGATGAAACGTGGCTGGGTCTTTCAGCATGACAATGATCCCAAACACACCGCCCGGGCAACGAAGGAGTGGCTTCGTAAGAAGCATTTCAAGGTCCTGGAGTGGCCTAGCCAGTCTCCAGATCTCAACCCAATAGAAAATCTTTGGAGGGAGTTGAAAGTCCATGTTGCCCAGCGACAGCCCTAAAACATCACTGCTCTAGAGGAGATCTGCATGGAGGAATGGGCCAAAATACCATCAACAGTGTGTGAAAACCTTGTGAAGACTTACAGAAAACGTTTGACCTGTGTCATTGCCAACAAAGGGTATATAACAAAGTATTGAGAAACTTTTGTTATTGACCAAATACTTATTTTCCACCATAATTTGCAAATAAATTCATTAAAAATCCTACAATGTGATTTTCTGGATTTTATTTTGTCATTTTGTCTGTCATAGTTGACGTGTACCTATGATGAAAATTACAGGCCTCTCTCATCTTTTTAAGTGGGAGAACTTGCACAATTGGTGGCTGACTAATTACTTTTTTCCCCCACTGTATTATGCTCACAATGGTAAAAGTCTGATGTCATAGGCCATGTTACCCAATTAGATCACTTAACTGTGGAAATTCATGGAGAGACATTTGTGTCGTTTTGCTATGAAACAGACTGCCATAACTACATTAATGCCTTAATGAGATTTGTCATTTACGTTAGAGGTCTATACACACCCACGTGAAACACAAACACACGCGCACACACACAGACAAATACACACGCAGGCGCACACACACACATACACACACACACGCTTATTTAACCCTGCCTATACCCTAGGGCTACTTCCAGTCCGTGAAGCTCTCCTAATCAAATAACACGCTGGTTAATTGGCATTGATGAATTTAACAGAGCTCCACATGCCATGTAGCCATGGCCACTTCCGACTGCTGGGCAGCCAGCTTGCAAAAATGAACTGAATGACAAAGGAAAGACAGAAGAGATGGAAGGAATGGAGATAAAGAAATAGAGGAAATAAAAGTTGAAGAGTTCAACTTATTTGGAGGCTTGGACACAGCCACGGTTGAGCAAAGACAATGAGAAGAACTACTAAGAATTCTGTCCAACTTTTCACTCATCCTAAATAATCTCACACAATAATTATTTTGTAGCACGTGTGGCTACATCTGCAACTCCGTACTTGTAAAGTATTTTCTTTATTGTATGCATTGACTTAGACCAAGCAGTCAGCTCTCTATGTTGATGCTTGTATTGTATGAAAACAATACAAATGTCACGTGCAACTTAGACCTAGCAGTTGTATCATGTAAAGAAACCCCCTCTCACCCTCTCCAGAAGGACTAGCCAGTACGTTCCAGGTGTGGGGGATATCCAAGTTGGCCATGGCCAGGGCCACACGGCGGTCCATAGCCCAGCGAGAGTTCTCCTCGCCCAGGCAGAAGCGGCTGCTCAGCTCCCTGTGGTCCCTGGAGCTCAAGCGGTGACCGTGGGTTACTAGGTGCTCAGCCAGATCCTGTGGGTAGGGTTGGGACAATAATATTAAACCAAATAAATCTGTATTTACACTGAACAAAAATATAAACGCAACATGCAACAATTTCAAAGATTTTACTGAGTTACATTTCATATAAGGAAATCAGTCAATTGAAATTAATTAATTAGACCCAAATCTATGACTTTCCCATGACTGGGAATACAGATATGCATTTATTGGTCACAGATACCTTAAAGAAAGGTGAGGGTGTGGATCAGAAAACCAGTCAGTATCTGGTGTGACCATCATTTGCATCCTGCAGCATGACACATCTCCTTCGCATTGAGTTGATCAGGCTGTTGATTGTGGCCTGTGGAATGTATCCTACTCCTCTTCAATTGCTGTACGAAGTTGCTGGATATTGGCGGGAACTGGAACATGCTGTCCAACACATAAATCCAGAACATCCCAAACATACTTAATGGGTGGCATGTCTGGTGAGAATGCAGACCACGGAAGAACTGGGACATTTTCAGCATCTAGGAATTGTTTACAGATCTTTGCGACATGGGGCCGTGCATTTTCATGATGAAATATGAGGTGATGGCGTCGGATGAATGGCACGACAACGGGCCTCAAGATCTCTGTGCATTCAAATTGCCATTGATAAAATGCAACTGTGTTCGTTGTCCCTATCTTTTGCCTAACCATACCATAAACCCACCGCTACCATGGGGCACTCTGTTCACAACATTGAATCTGCTTGCCGACACGACGTTGAAACTAGATTCATCCTTGAAGAGCACACTTCTCCAGTGTGCCAGTTGCTATCTAAGGTGAGCATTTGCCCACTGAAGTCGGTTACGACGCCAAACTGCAGTCAGGTCAAGAGATAGTTTGGCAGTTTGTGCAGAAGTTCTTTGCTTGTACAAACCCACATTTTCATCAGCTTTCCACGTGGCTGGTTCAGATTACTCCGCAGGTGAAGAAGCTGGATGTGGAGGTCCTGGGCTGGCGTGGTTACACGTGGTCTGCAGTTGTGAGGCCGGTTGGACATACTGCCAAATTCTCTAAAACAACGTTGGAGGCATTTTATGGTAGAGAAATGAACATTCAATTCTCTGGCAACAGCTCTGGTGGACATTCCTGCAGTCAGCATGTGAATTGCACGCTCCCTCAAAACTTTAGACATCTGTGGCATTGTGTTGTGTGACAAAACTGCACATTTTGGAGTGGCATTTACTTTCCCCAGCACAAGGTGCACCTGTGTAAAGATCATGCTGTTTCATCAGCTTCTTGATATGAAACACATGTCCGGTGGATGGATTATCTTGGCAAAGGAGAAATACTCATAAACTAATGTGTACAACATTTGAGAGAAATAAGCTTTTTGTGCATATGGAAAATGTCTTTATATTTTTGCTCAATAACATGTTTTGTACAATAATAGCAGTGCAAAGTGCTTCACATACAATATTATGATCATATTAAACCACCATAGCTGCTTTTATCACCATAAATGTTGGTAAACAACCAAATTGATTTGTGTTGCATCATTGACCACACTTCTTCTCAACCTTAACCAAAATAATTTTGTAATTTTGATCATTGTGCCAACCCCAGTGTATACGTGTGTGTGTGTGTGTGTTTGTGTGTGTAGCAATGTGCATGCCACCCCAACTGAGGATCTATCTTTTATAGCCATCTATTTCCTGTATTTGAGTGGTGCAAAATCCACTTATCACTGTATCTGCTGTATTAATTGCTTTGATTGATTGTGACTCTTTCATACTCTTGCTTGTGCCTGTTGTTTTTTCCCCATTTACGTTATGACCGTGGAAATGTTCATAACTACCTGTCAACACACAATGGATGAAATGGGCTCAATGGGACTTAGTGTCTTTCCGTTGAATCTATAAGAATGCTAAAGCTTTGTCAGGATTTAACGCACTGTCTCGACACTTACACCACAAGAAAGAGAAGAAAGATAACTTTACTTTGATGAATGTTAATTTTTTGTGTAATTGAAAAAACTAATACATTAATACATTTGAAATGTTTACAAATTAGATGCGCTGAAATAAAAGCAACTTCCGAAAAGGAACACTCGGATTATAGTGATATTGTGTCTGATCTCGCAAACAATGTAAGGTATTTTTAGATAGGTGTAATCGAGAGCCAAGCGTGTTGATTTTTAATCAGATGGTATCCTGCTATTGACACACTTGTTGAAATACGCAAGAGAAATCGACAACAACAGAAATTAATGAGGCAGTCTAGATAGTGCAGGTGAGTGCAGGTAGGGTAGACAGAGTAAAGGCACCCGCATACTAGGTTCGGTTTGCTCCTAACAGAACTCGGCTAGTTGAAGCGAAGCGAACATCTGTGCCTCGCATACTCCCTTAAAACCTTTTACTGCAGTGGGCTAAATCAGGGTCACACAGAGTGTTTCTTAAACAAATCTACTTTGAAACAAAAGTATACACCTCACACACATGGTTATGGGCATAAAAAAAGAAGACACCTGTACCATGTCACATACAGTACCAGTCAAAAGTTTGGACACACCTACTCATTGAAGGGTTTTTCTTTATTTTTACTATTTTCTACAATATAGGATAATAGTGAAGACGTCAAAACTATGAAATAACACATATGGAATCATGTAGTAACCAAAAAAGTGTTAAACAAATCAAAATATATTTTATATTGGAGATTCTTCAAATAGCCACCCTTTGCCAAGAGTGTGCAAAGCTGTCATCAAGGCAAAGGGTGGCTATTTGTAGAATCTCTAATGACTGAGAAGCATGCGACAGGCTTTAGTGGTTGCAGCCCTGTTCCTCCAATTTATGCTAATTCATTAATATATGCAAATACACCCAGTGTATTTATGCAAATTGTGCACATATAATTGTCTTTATTTTTACACACACACACAAAAACATAGCTGGTACAATAATAAAATGTATATACTGTATGAGTACATTCTACGAAAAACAATAGTGAAATTTTTCAATAAATTGAATGCCTGAATTCCCACCAAAATCTCTGAACATTATTTGTCAGCTCCATTAAAATGTTTTATGTGCTACAATTCAGTCAATATATGCTGGATTATATATTTTATTTTTTACAAAATTCAGTTTGGAGTATCTTCATCCAAATGTTCCAACCGTTGGATTTATTATAATTGTTTTTAAAACCTTTTAACAATTTCAATGATTGTTGCTAGTGTGTGTGTGTGTGTTTGTGTTTGTGTATGTGTCTGTGTGTGTGTGTGTGTGGGTGCCAACCCTACCTGGGCGTCATCCTGGACATACTTGAGCCTGGACCCTCCCACACAGGTAAAGGGTGTGGTCTCAGAGTAGAGGTAAGCACAGACTGAGACAGTCTCAGCCAGATTATGACCTACAGAACAATGGGACAGGATGTTACACCACAGAGTGTTTACAACTGTGTAGAGTAGTGTTTCCCAACTCCAATCCTCGAGTACCCCCAACAGCACACATTTTTGTTGTTTCCCCGGCAAACTCACCTGATTCAACTCGAGGGCTTGATGATTAGTTGACAAGTTGAATCGGTTGTGCTTGTCCGGGGCTACAACAAAAATGTGTACTGTTGGGGATACTCGAGGACTGGAGTTGGGAAACACTGGTAGGGGGAAGTTGCCGCAGGTTAGCGCTTTTCATCATGAATCTTGTTCTGGAGGCAGCTTTGCAGAGTAGTCACTAGCTGGCACAGCCACAAAGTAATAACATCTGATTTTAAACCTTAAGCCGTAACCTTAACCACACTGCTAAGCCTAATGCCTAACCCTAACCTTAAATGAAGATCAAAAGCTCGTTTTTATGAATTTTTACAATATGTGACCGACCGCCTTGATTCAGCCTTATGTAGCAAAATTTGAAATTGTGTTTTTTACATTGGATAAAAGCAGCGACACAGAGCTACAAAATTGTATATCATACACTGCATTTGAGGAACAAAGGGAAAGTAATTCTGCTTTGAAAGTTGATCAACTTGTAATCTCACTTTTGAGAAAATGGCCTTTGAATGTTATGGTACCTACTGGAGAGCTCTACTTTGTCTACACCCATTCAGCATCGTTCACACCCTCTTAAGCTTTAGCCCCACCCATCTCATTTTGCTCTCAGAGCGCATACTGGACGCTCTGGCCGATGAGTAGCGTTGATCCGAGCATTCTGACCTCACAACGGCAGTCAAGCACCCAAGCTAACTGGCTAACATTGGCTAGCTTGCTAGCTACTTCCAGACACAAATGAGAGAACAACCCACTGAACATTTTACTCGCCCTAGTAAAGCTGGTTGTTTTCATGTTATCCAGAGCATTGGTGACCTGTAACTGTGCTGCTGGCAACAATTTAATTATGCTTTTTTGCCGACTTTTACTGACACCGGCCATATTCAACGGGTGTTGAGCGTTTGGAAATTCATCAGTTATTCTGTGCTCTGGCATACTCAAAACTGAATTTACGAACGCACCCAAAATGGTTACTTGCATAGTGGAGTCTTTTGTTAAGACATGTAGCTAACTAGCTAGGTAAACAATGAACCATAATCCCAACTCATGATGTTACTACCCTGCATGAATCTGCAGGTAGCTAACCAACCTGGTTCAATGTTAGCTAGCTAACATTAGGCTATAATTAGCAAAGCAAATGGCTCTCCTGTGAAGTAGTGACCCGCGGCATATGCCTAGTTTCCTGAAACTAGTCATATATAGCCAATTTTGACTTTGCAGCTGGTCCATCTAGAGTAAATCGCTCAGTTCTGCTTCAAGGACAAGACTCATTCCAATAAACGTCAACCTGAGAAGTTGCCCCTAGACGTGGATCTTGGGTCGGTTTAGAATTTTCCCCACTAATGGTTAAGTTTAGGATCGGCAGAGGGGAAGCTGATCCTAGATCTGTACCTAGGGGAAACTTTGTTTAGAAAACACGTTTAGAACAAGAGGCCACACAGTGTGCAGGCTTTTGTTCAAGCCCAGCACTAACACACCCGATTCAACTAATTATGCTAGATTGAAGACATGATGATTAGTTGAATCAGGATTGCTAGTGTTTGAGATGGAGCAAAAACCTACACACCCACAGGGGAGTGGTAGTGTAGTAATGTGTATTGTAGCCAGCCAGCCAGGGGAGAGTGTACAGTTCTCCAGGGGTTTCTCCATTGTTGGTGTTGTTTATGAGGTGCTGAGTCTGACCGTTTCCCTCCTGAGAGAAAGCTGATAAGATACTACATCCTTTCAGAGCCCAGTCTCAGACGCAACACAGTGCGTCACAAATGGCTCCCTATTACTTATATAGTGTAATACTTTTGACCATAGGACTCTGGTCAAAAGTAGTGCACTATGTAGGGAATAGGGTGTCATTTGGGACGCACCTACTGTGTTTGATCCCCAGAGGTAACAGGGTTCACTCACAGAGAAGTCTGGGCACACGCACACACACTGGTCATAGAGATGATCATAGTCATCGGTCATAGTCATCTTTACGATGGCAGTTACACACAACACACACACTCACACCCCCGCCCCGACCCCCTCTCTCTCCTTCTCACTTTGGGGTGAAATTTCCACTAGTTACAGATCTAGGATCAGCTTTTCCTCCCCAATCCTAACCTTAACCACTAGTGGGGAAATGCTCAACTGAACCCAGATCAGTGTCTAGGGACAACTTCACTCTACACCATTTCTCTCACCAGGCACGATGAAGCAGAGCATGACATCGTTCTGGGCTCTGATGACATGGGCAAGCGTAGAACCTTCTAGAACGATGAAGATCTCTGCCTCCTTTGGCAAGGGGTCTGGGGCCTGCAGCAACGCAAACACCTTGGCCTGCCCCTGAGGGGAGGGGATAGAGAGGGGTAAGGGAGACAGGGGGGGTTGGAGAGGGGGAGAGACAGGGGGAAGATAGAGATGGGGGGAGAGAGAGACATGGGGGGAGAGAGAGAGAGAGAGAGAGAGACAGGCAGGCAGACAGACAGACAGACAGACAGACAGACAGGCAGGCAGGCAGGCAGGCAGGCAGGCAGGCAGGCAGGAAGGCAGGCAGGCAGGCAGGCAGGCAGGCAGGCAGACAGACAGACAGACAGGCAGACAGATAGGCAGGCAGGCAGACAGACAGGTGTTTGATAAGATCATTTACAGTCAGGATGATCTAGTAAAGATGTACACTAAATCCTACCGCAGCATACTTTATGAAGACATAAGACATCTTACCCCCCAACTCAATAAAAAGAGGAATGCTCCAGTCTCTGCTCAGATCTGATCTACCCTGATCTTCACAGGCCAGAACACATAAGACCACTGATCTGGGAGCTGTGTGCCAAATAACTAGAGATGTGTATACTTTCACATGAAACCTTAGATTGATGTGAATGGTATATTTGCATGAAAATTAAAGTTAACTGCAGACCCTCAAGTTTGGAGTCATTCTTTGAGACATATAAGACAAATGGAGAGCAACTGTTTAGGGCTTGGTTGTCTTCCATTCTTGTCAGGATAGCTCCTGGATTTAAAGGTGCATGAGATACAGTATAATAGAGAATTGAAGAGGTATACAAAAGGGGCCCCTTAGGGTGTCTTTGTATCCCTCACTCACTCTCTCTCCCTCCCCCAAATGTCCCTATATCTCTCTCACTGGGGAATCAGCTTATCAGTTTCTCTTCCACTCACCTCAAGAGCTGACCTGGTTTCCCACCATCGTAACACAGGTACACACGCATGCATGACTCTCCCCCGAACTATCTCACACACTCTCCTGTCCAACCCTGTCTATCCTGCAAACCAGACTATTGAAATTAACCCAATTTATGCATCACACGATCTCATTCGTGCCCTCAACATAAACCCAGCCCAACCTATGGGACACCAGGTGCGGAAGTCTCAAAGGTGGAACTGGCTAATATTGAACATAAATGAGAGAATGGGGGTGTGTAACCATAGTCGTGGGAAGTAGTGGTGCTGAGGGTGCTGCAACAACCCCTGAAAAATCTGAAGAAAAAAATACTTATAACTCAGCAAAAAAAGAAACGTCCCTTTTTCAGGACCCTGTCTTTCAAAGATAATTTGTAAAAATCCAAATAACTTTACAGATCTTCATTGTAAAGGGCTTAAACACTGTTTCCCATGCTTGTTCAATGAACCATAAACAATTAATGAACATGCACCTGTGGAACGGTCGTTAAGACACTAACAGCTTACAGACGGTAGGCAATTAAGGTCACAGTTATGAAAACTTAGGCCACTAAAGAGGCCTTTCTACTGACTCTGAAAAACACCAAAAGTAAAATGCCCAGGGTCCCTGCTCATCTGCGTGAACGTGCCTTAGGCATGCTGCAAGGAGGTATGAGGACTGCAGATGTGGCCAGGGCAATAAATTGCAATGTCCGTACTGTGAGACGTCTAAGACAGCGCTACAGGGAGACAGGACGGACAGCTGATCATCCTCGCAGTGGCAGACCACGTGTAACAACACCTGCACAGGATCAGTACACCCGAACATCACACCTGCGGGACAGGTACAGGATGGCAACAAAAACTGACTGTCCGCAATAGGCTGAGGGAGGCTGGACTTAGGGTGTGTATGCCTGTTGTAAGGCAGGTCCTCACCAGACATCACCGGCAACAACGTCGCCTATGGGCACAAACCCACCGTCACTGGACCAGACAGGACTGGCAAAAAGTGCTCTTCACTGACGAGGCGCGGTTTTGTCTCACCAGGGGTGATGGTCGGATTCGCGTTTATCGTTGAAGGAATGAGCGTTACACCGAGGCCTATACTCTGGAGCGGGATCGATTTGGAGGTGGAGGGTCCGTCAAGGTCTGGGGCGGTGTGTCACAGCATCATCGGACTGAGCTTGTTGTCATTGCAGGCAATCTCAACGCTGTGCGTTACAGGGAAGACATCCTCCTCCCTCATGTGGTACCCTTCCTGACATGACCCTCCAGCATGACAATGCCACCAGCCATACTGCTCGTTCTGTGCGCGATTTCCTGCAAGACAGGAATGTCAGTGTTCTGCCATGTCCAGCGAAGAGCCCGGATCTCAATCCCATTGAGCACGGCTGGGACCTGCTGGATCGGAGGGTGAGGGCTAGAGCCATTCCCCCCAGAAATGTCCGGGAACTTGCAGGTGCCTTGGCGGAAGAGTGGGGTAACATATCACAGCAAGAACTGGCAAATCTGGTGCAGTCCATGAGGAGGAGATGCACTGCAGTACTTAATGCAGCTGCTGGCCACACCAGATACTGACTGTTACTTTTGATTTGGACGCCCCCTTTGTTCAGGGACACCTTATTCCATTTATGTTAGTCACATGCCTGTGGAACTTGTTCAGTTTATGTCTCAGTTGTTTAATCTTGTTATGTTCATACAAATATTTACACATGTTAAGTTTGCTGAAAATAAACGCAGTTGACAGTGAGAGGACATTTATTGTTTTGCTGAGTACCAGTCAAAGGTTTGGACACACCTACCCATTCAAGGGTTTTTCTTTATTTGTACTATTTTCTAGATTGTAGAATAATAGTGAAGACATCAAAACTATGAAATAACACATATGGAATCATGTAGTAACTGTCACGTCTCCTCCCGTTGCTCCCCTCCGGCGCTTTGATTCGCCGGTCTACTGAGCCACCATCTCGGCAACACCGGAATGGAAACCCAACGCACCTTAATCACCTCCAGCGCACCTGCACCTCATCATCTCATCACCACCCTTATTTAGCCCTGGACTGTTCTGGATGATGTTGTGTGTGATTGTTAAGCTTTGTGTCATTTACGCTATCTTTGTTATTTCTCTTGCTCATTGTTAAGTAAACCTTGACTTTGTTAATTCCTGCGTCTGCATCCTGCCTCTTCGTATACTCCGTACTCATCACAGTAACCAAAAAAGTGTTAAACAAATTTTGGAGATTTTCCAAATAGCCACCCTTTGCCTTGATGACAGCTTTGCACACTCTTGGCATTCTCTCAACCAGCTTCACCTGGAATGGTTTTCCAACAGTCTTGAAGGAGTTCTCACATATGCTGAGCACTTTTTGGCTGCTTTTCCTTCACTCTGGTCCGACTCGGGGGGTACTGCCACAGGCCAGTACCCCCCCGAACCCCTCTCACATCATGCCTCGAGGGTGTCTGTGGCTCCAGCCCTGCCCTTCTCAGAGGAATTCTATTGATGATGTGGGTCCTCCGTCCCCCATCTCCCGTCGGTCTTCAAGGAGGCTCAGAAAAGGCCAGACGTCCACGGCCACTCACCTTCCTCCAGCCATCATCATTGGTAGCTCCATGGTGAGGCACCTCTCAGTTCCTGGAGCAAAAACCCTGCTACTCGGGGGCTACGCTGAAGGATATCACAGCCAAGGGCTGCTGCTGTCGTAGAGCATGTGGGATCAAATGATATCAAAAAGGGTAAATCAGAGCTTATGAAACAGGATTTTATTGAGCTGATCAACATCCTAAAAGGTTCTGAAAAGCAATCAATTATCTCTGGTCCCGTGCTGTCACTGGCTCGTGGCTGTGAAAGGTTCAGCAGGCTCTTAGCTCTTCATATCTGGCTTAAAGACTACTGCCACTCTATTGGCATGACTTTTATTGACAATTTCGACACTTTTTGGAAACAAAAGATGCTGTACACAGAGATGATGGACTCGACCCAAACCATCTAGGAGCCTGGACCCTTTCTTCACATTTCAAGGCTGCGTAAAGATATTGACTCAGAGACAGACCAAGCCCCGCTCAGGTAATACATCCCATCTTTTCTAAGCATTATCGTCGTACTGTTGTCTATACTACCAAGGGTGTTGTCAGTTGTAAAGTTGTACTTATTTGTTTGAACTCCACTCTTAGATCTGCTATTCTTAGCACATAAAGAGAAGCCCACTGTCGTCTGCCCACCCAGTGCTTTTAGATCAAATGTGAATTCCATAAACTTGAAGTAAGTCAGATTATAACATTTCATCTCTGGGGACATTCTGGACTCTGACAGACAGGGTAAAGGTGGTGGAGTGGCCATTCTTATTGAAAATAATTTCTGTCTCTTTACTGAAATCCATTTCCTTTGCCAAAACATTTCAGCCACTATCTTTAAGCCTTTGTCTGGGCAAAAATGTATCAATAACTGTTATTTTTTTACATTTTAGTCATATAGCAGACGCTCTTATACAGAGCGACTTACAGGAGCAATTAGGGTTAAGTGCCTTGCTCAAGGGCACATCGACAGATTTTTCACCTAGTCAGCTCGGGGATTAGAACCAGCGATATTTCGGTTACTGGCACTACGCTCTTAACCACTAAGCTATCTGCCGCCCATCGGCCATTGTTATAGGGGTCTGCCGTCCTCCCTCGGCTAACCTTTGTGCACTCGAGAAGTTAACTAGTTTGTTGTCATCTTTTATTAAATCAGAAGTTATTATCCTGGGTGACCTAAATTCCAGGTATGGGTTTAAGGGTCTCTTTTCCAAGCTTAAAATGATAAACATTCAACACCATGGACCAGAATTATTATTGTTTTTTTACTCCTTTTTCTACCCAATTGGTAGTTACAGTATTGTCCCATAACTGCAACTCCCCTACGGACTCGGGAGAGGCAAAGGTCGAGAGCCATGCGTCCTCTGAAACACGACCCTGCCAAGCAGCACTGCTTCTTGACACACTGCTCGCTTAACCCGGAAGCCAGCCTCACCAATGTGTCAGAGGAAACACCGTCCAGCTGGTGACCGAGTCAGATTGCAGGTGCCCGGCCCACCACAAGGAGTCACTAGAGCGCGATGGGCCATGGAAATCCTGGCCGGCCGAACCCTCCCCTAACCCGGGTGAGTTGTGGGCCAGTTGTGCTCCGCCTCATGGGTCTCCCGGTCACGGCCGGCTATGACACAGCCTGGGATCGAACCCGGGTCTGTAGTGACACCTCAAGCACTGCAATGCAGTGCCTTTGACTGCTGCGCCACTCGGGAGGCTGGGCCAGAAAAGCTTGACTACATTGGCCATGCTGTCAATCCAGCATGACATCTGCCGCATTCAAAACAACTGAAAACTCAGAACTGGGAAATCTCAGACTTCAGTGAGTTCAAGACAACTGGGAACTCGTAAAAAAGGGAAAATACGTTTTGAACGGTCATCCAACTCGGAATTCCAAGTCGGGAACTCAGGCTTCTTTCTAGAGCTCCGACCTGAAGATCACTGACGTCTTGATTCGACCTTGTTTTTTTCGGAGTTCCCAGTTGTCACCATGAATCCAGAGAATGCCGGACTTTGATGACAAAGCTTTGTTGAAGCATTTGTAGTTCCCACCGTAAAGCATGGAGGAGGAGGTGTTATGGTGTGGGGGTGCTTTGCTGGTGACACTGTCTGTGATTTATTTAGAATTCAAGGCACACTTAACCAGCATGGCTACCACAGCATTCTGCAGCGATACGCTATCCCATCTGTTTTGGGCTTAGTGGGACTATCATTTCTTTTTCAACAGGACAATGACCCAACACACCTCCAGGCTGTGTAAGGGCTATTTTACCAAGAAGGAGAGTGATGGAGTGCTGCATCAGATGACTTGGCCTCCACAAACCCCCGACCTCAACCCAATTGAGATGGTTTGGGATGAGTCGGATGGCAGAGTGAAGGAAAAGCAGCCAACAAGTGCTCAGCACATGTGGGAACTCCTTCAAGACTGTTGAAAAAGCATTCCAGGTGAAGCTGTTTGAGAGAATG